TAATTGGTAATGGTGATAATACAGGATAATAGTAATGTGAACTTACTTGGTAACAGTAATTTAAATGGTTTAATTGGTAATTGTGATAATACAGGGTAATAGTAATGTGAACTTACTTGGTAACAGTAATTTAAATGGTTTAATTGGTAATGGTGACAATACAGGGTAATAGTAATGTGAACTTACTTGGTAACAGTAGTTTAAATGGTTTAATTGGTAATGGTGATAATACGGGGTAATGGTATTTAATAAAACCATCTGATTCACTGGACTGTTGAATATCAAATATTACAGATGTCTGAAATTAATCAAATGCTTTATATTAGATCAATTATTCTGTATAATATTGGGGAAAAAAAGCATAGCAGTATTTGTAGATGATATTCAAAATCCACACAACTTATTTCACAATGTCAAGCTAAACAAAGTGCGTCTAATACCTTGACTGTAATAGCCACCTTTCTTGTATCACATAAGTTTGTAACTACAGCAATTTGATTTGATGGTATGCTTGCAAAAACAATTCATAATAGCTTGACATTGTTTGAATTTTTAGAGGTAAGAATGACCAAACAAAACCATTCTTGGTGCTACAAGAGAAATTTGGCCAGGAATAGCCTTATCTTGTATACATAACGATCAAGACTTCTTTCATGTATCTAAGAAGTAGAAATTATCCTTATCCAAGGCTTAGTATATATTTTTCAATAGATTAACGTGTCACAAATAAACATCCAAACAAACCTTAGAAGCTTGATGATGAACCATAACTAAATTATCTACAATATTAATAGCAAATCGACCACTCATATCTAATTTTAATACATCACTCTTTCTAGCTGGACTCTCTCTACAAATTGAAAGGTAAGATGTGTCAACATTCATATGATATCACCTTAGTAGATTAATAGGCATATATACAAGTCCTTGAAAATATGTAAACATTTTAACATTACCATTTACGCAGTGGGCATTGAGGTAAAAAAAAGTGGTGTGTATTATCTAGGGTTACAGAGATTTTTCCAGATTTACTTGGGTGTGCATTATATTCAAAATTACACAATTTTTTAGGGTAAGCATTTACATCACAATCTATAGCTAGCACATAGCATGTCTTCCTAACAACTGTTTTTACTTACTTTTGTAGTTGATAAAGAACTATTTCTGCTCCAACATTAGCTGATGGTTGATGTCTTAATACAACAATATACAGTTGATTGTATCTATATAATGCAATAATAAATATGCAATATTAGCTGAATATCTCGGAAAGCTATGCCAAGTTGACCTGCCAAATTGCTGGGTAGGATCAAGAGTTTCAGAAGCTGTCTTGTCAGAGACATCCTTCATAATATTATTCTAGTTGAGTTCATATAAGTTAAGATTTTACAAAGGCAGTAAAACTTACATGTTAGCTAAAGTAACATCACGTTCCACCAGACTGACTTTATTACTTTTAGGTGCTGCTGGTAAATCAACTTCAAATTTGGGTAATTTATTTAATACACCTGGCTGTAGAGAAAAGTGTTGGCAATGTTACCCTTTGATCTGTTTATTTTATCCAAATATATTCATGTTATTTTACTACTTGAGACATTTAGACTAGTCTATGAAATGAAATAGCATAAAATGCGACACAAAATTGACAACCACAATCATTGAGTCTCTCATTGGTCACTCAAATAACAATGAGTCTGGTTGTCAGAAGCTACATAATTCAAAGATAATCATAAAGATTCAATACAATGATTCTGATTGTTTCAATATTTATGTTATACTCTGATTTAAATTTTGATTGAACAATTTGATACACAATATTATAAAACTTACTCTAACTTGTACAGGATGTAATGTATTACCAGTACTACCAGATGATAACAATAATATTCCATTTTCTGGCTACAATCAATAATATATGTAGTATTATTATCAGTATTAATAGGCTTTTAATCAAAAAGAGTTAACCCTTTCAACCCTGAATGTAAATGAATTATAAAAATTGTAAAAGTGTATGATGTTAACGTTGTATGACGTCAATTAGCAACGGCTGCTAGGGTATATATTACGTTAGTGTTTGGCCGGTAAACCCGCCGCTAGGGTTGAAAGGGTTAATACGACCTAATTTGAATTAAATTTTGTATACATACCATACACACTACCCAATTTACTTGTAAACTGATTGTCTTTAGACATTTCAATGTTCTTTTCTCTGGATATATCTGTCAAAATATACAGAAGAAATTTTTAAATGTATATCACATCAAAGTCAGACATTTTGAAACCTGATATCAGACAACTTGTAAATACAGACAAATCAACATCCCTTACATGCACCAATGAGAAAGTGAATTAGTATAACTTATAATATCATAATTATGGAGAATTTCCTTTGATCATGACCATGAAAAGTCTCTGTGTTTGACATTATTGGACATTAGATGTCTGTTTAATATATATATGGTTAGACAGCTCTGTCACTTAGCTGATGTAACAAACAACATGTTCTTATAAACCAAATTACAGCGATGCTTGTGCAAAGATTTAAAGTAACAAGAAAGCCACTCCCCCCTGTGTTATAAAATAGTGCTATACATATTACACATACCTGATATTGTTCTAGACCATGATTAGTTATAAATATTATCTCATATAAACCAGTCCATAAAAAACTTATAATCTGTGTGGATTTACCCTGAACATTAAAAAAAATATGATTTCTGAAAATCATTTCACAGAATTTATTACAAGTGGAGCTTAACCCTTAACTGAACAGAGCACTTCATTTATTGAATTAGAATGTTTTTATGAATAAAATGTTTTTAGATTCTAGTATGAGTGATATGACTCACAAAGCAATTTAATTACATGTCATCGTTAAAACTTACTTTACATGTCTGTGAGTATTCTAATTCATCTGTTGTCATATCATCAAGAAAGTTTACAAATTCCTGAAAAAAAAATATCAAGGACTACACTTATTGCATAATCTAGTGAGTTACATACTGTGACTTAGATGTAACTCAAATTTATTAAAGAAACAACCACTCAATACATATAGTTTACATAACCTCTTAAAGAGATTGTAAAGAGGTTTTCTAAATTTTATATGTGTATAGGTGTTACTGATAGCTTCAATTTACACCATTCCAATTTTCAATCATACATCTGTGGTTCAGTGTTTGATGACATCACTAATTGTAAAATATGTTCTATCAGATTAGTGACCTTATCAAGCACTTAGTGTTAGTGGAAATGCAGGAAACACAGAACGGTGCAAATTGATGCTATAAGTGTCCCCAATACACATACATACAAATTTAGATAACCTCTCTAGAATCCCTTTAATACTTTCTTTAATAATTTGATTTGATCCCTACAGATCACTAAAGAAAACTAGTTCAACTTACCACTGATTTGAATGATCTTTGTACAGCTAGAATCTTTTTATCTGGTGAAAATTTTATAGACATGACATCACCTCGACTTTCCATCCTGAAAAAATTATAAAAACAATTTTCATATATAATGTATTGCAATAAAATGCCAGGATAAGATCGAAGTAAACAGGGAAGATTAGCTGGCAAGTCAAGAAATCAAATTATCCTTTCCATCATTCTGCTTCACAAAATTAGACTTAAATCTAGCCATTTAAGTTGACATACCTAAATTGAATTACACTTTTATCATCTGGCCCTTTAACAACCACACCCATAGCTCCACCTGATCTTACTGCAAATACCTAGAAATATAGCAGTCAAAACAGTTATCATAGATTAACTTCCCTGCTCTATTTTCCAGGCCTACCAGTATGGCAACTGTTCAAGGTCTTGCTGAGGATTGCTCATCGGATATAATGGTGCAGTACTTTAAAGTAAGGGTTGGTGATATAGGAGCTAAACCTGCATCACCACAAATACAGATATATAAAACTAAATTGTTTTCATATACTTAAAAAACCACCCAAATCAATGGTTCGTTATGTACAATCCTTGTGAAAAACATCAGATCCAAATGGGAAGGTCACATTAAATGGTAAAATATTGTAGCATGCCCTACCTGCCTATTGGCATCATCAAAGAATACATTGTTGGCTTTTCCAACAGGTTCAAATCTTATAGGATTAGGACACAATTCTATATAATGTGTACTTGTTTCTTCCATCATTTATTATTCATTAATTCTGCACATTCACAGAAAATACAAAGATTCTAGAAAAGATAGAGAGGAATTGAGACATTTGAGTATTAGTGAAATGAGAGTGCAGCCTAGGCCAGATTTCAGTCTTGACATTAGCAGTCTATCGAGCCTTCTGATAAGACTATATCAATCATGTTTAATTCGCTATGGTTGAAAATCGTGAATAAGGATCAGTGATACAAGGCCCTCCAATTCGAGAGGTTGAGAGAGCAGTCGTAAACAAACTGGTAGAATGAAGACAAACATGGAATCAAAGAACAGGGCTGATGTCATAATTTATTTAGCTTAGATTTTAATACTGGCTCTTGTCAGAGGTGAAGTTTAGCACTTGTTAACTTTGTGATGATTAAATTCTATCTTTTAACTTTTAAGCTGTACTTTATTTTTATTTACCTTACCATAAAGGAAGGGGAGTAACTCTCAAAATAGTTATTGTGGAGACTAAAACAAGAATTTGGATTTCTAAAACATTTTGGTATTTTTCCCCCAAATATTTAACTATTTAAATAAAACTTTATGAAAGATTTATAAATTTGTTTTCAACACTTTGATATTTAATATGTTCGAATGCTTTTTCAATTTTTACGAAAATATGGACTATCAAATAATTTAATGAAAATCAACATCCGGTGGTGAAACGCACATGTGTTTAGTTTACAAGGTAAATCTTTAAATCAAGATTTAGGTAATTGAGAGAGTGACAGTGAAATTTCCAATGCCAATGTCCAAAAAATAGAGAGCTGAGATGCCCAGATCGTTCAGATTTTCTGATCATCACATTGATATCTGGTTGATCAATGAAATCATATTAAGATTGAAATGAATCATGGATCTTTTAGACCTAGAATGTAGTTGAAATTTACGATTTACTTGTTATCTTTCAATCACCCTAATACTTAATCAAACAAACATTGAACAAAGATACAGTAACTTTATATTCCTATCCAATTTGCTGCTCTTGTCTTTTCTGTCTATTGTCCCAATTTTCATTAGCCCAAATGGAGCAGTAGCCTTTCTGTAGTAAAACTCGATTCAGTCCATAAGATTAATCATATTTTTTTTCCAGATATTTGTATCTTTTGCTGAATTGAATGAATGTTAGTTGATAAAAGAATATGTCATCTTTAGCCCAACAACTACAGCGTCTTGCTGTACCTCAAACAGCTAATCTAGCAATACATGATAAAGAGAGAAAATCATTATTATTTGATCCTAAAGAAGCTGCTAATTTTGATAAAGAAACTTTTTTCTCCATTGGTATGTTAATATTAATATTGTTTTGAAAATTGGTTGCCAATGGTATAAAACCCTGACCAGCCACACGGGGCTTGGGGATTTTCAATGTATGTGTAACTAGATTTCATACTTTCGAATCATACTATTGAATTGGGAGGAATATTCAGTGCTGTCAATTTCTCACAAAATGAAACTCTCCACATCGCTAGATATTCTACCAAATTAAAAAGTTTTGTTCCATTGTATGAAATTTAGTAACTCATGATATTATTAAATGGTTACTTTCTAATCTACTTCACCAGAGCTCATCTATCTACTGTTTGAATAAGATTAATAATTCCATCATCAGTTCTCTCTTACTTCCCATGTGCTACAGGCTGTCCACATGAAATATCCATTGACAATTGGAATGGAAAAACAAAATTAGGTTGGCAAAATTTCTCTCATTGAACACTGCATGCCATTGTCCTTCTTTATTCGCCCAATCATATACAGAAATGTAGGATGCACACCTCCATTCATTTCATTTCAATTCTGTAACTGTCACTCTTTGTTGCAGGTATAAATGGTTTGGAAGAACTATCCTCTATTAATCCGGTATTTCGAGAGTTTGAGAAAAGTTTATTCAATGAGAATGCCCAGAATTTCCAAAGAGCAGTTCAAACTAAAGAAGTGAATGAGAAATTAGATGAGACTATTACTGAATTCTTATTACATTTATCACCATATTTTCTACTGAAACCAGCTCAGAAAGCTCTAGAATGGCTCATTTTCAGGTAGAGTATTAAGAATGATGTACTTTATCAAAAGTTTTGCTATATATATATGAATGTATTGAAGTATTTGAACTGAAGCTTTTACGCAAATAAATTTATTATTGTTCATTGATTAAGCATCTCTGACAGATAATCTCTTTTAATTCAAAAGTGTTTGGTGGCCTATTGATAAGACCTTATTTTTCACTGTATGACATTGGTTAATTCCAATATATTTTTTAAAAAACATTGCCAGAACTCTGATAAATTTGCTAGTAAACCTGTCTTGTTTTTCAGATATCAAATTCACCTATATAACACTGATAGTGTAATGTTATGTATATTACCGTATCATGAGAGTAAAATATTTGTTAGAGCTCTACAGTTGATTAAATTAGATGGTAAAATTAAGACAATGTGGGACTGGCTCTTGCCAGTTCAGGTAATATTAGCTTTATGTCTTTTTATTCTTCCTTTTCTTTTACATCTTGTCTGGTTTGTTTGGACACTCAAATGATGTTAGTGTTAGGAATTGGGCTAAGTTGATATTTTTTTAAATTTGCATTATTAAGGAACAACATTTGAATAGAAATTGTCTATTTATAGGAATCAGGTGTTTATTTACCAAGATCTTCATTAATTAATCATTGTGGCACCAATCCTGCTTTCTTAGCTTTTATATGTGATATGGTACCGAAATATATTCAGGTAAATAACGTTAATTTCTTTTCATAAACAGTTTTTAGACATGAAACAGTACTTACTTCAACCAGTGTCATACCATATTGGCTAATGATGACTTTTAGACATGATCTTGAAAACTATTTGTCTTCTTGTAAAACATTTTTCATATCCATAATCCTAACAGTTTTTGGGATTTCATCATGAGCTTCATGTGACTGGACTTTTCTCAAACATTGTAAGTCCATAACTGTTTAAGTTTACCTTAATTTTCCACAACAAAGTGTCCTGAAGATGATGTTATATTCAAATCTTAATTTTTTCTTGTGTTGTAGGTACATACCAATGAAGATGGGGAAACAATGACTAAGCAACTTAGAGTTATCTTTTCCTTTTACTCAACTACCATTATAGGTGTGTTAGAGAAACGTCCAATCACTGAGAAGATAATATCAGGTTTAATTCCCTATTTAACTCGAGGATTAAAGTCAGCTATAGAGGAATATAAAGCTGCTACCTATATGATTATAGCTCAGTTATTATATAAAGCCCAGTTAAAAGAGAAGTTATTGACAATGCTGCTGAATACTATATCTAAGGTGAGGGTAATTTTATTCAAATTCAGAACTCTAGGTTTTGTTTTGTAATTTTCATGCAGGTTCCTACACTTGCCATCCACGATCCGACTTCTTTGAATCGTATTCTGTTGAATTCTGAACCAGTAGCATCTAAAGTTGTCATAATTTATGTTAACCAATCGAAAATGTAACAAAGACTACCGGTATAAGTCACTGGTTTCCAACCTAGGGTGTTTTCACCCCCTGGGATTGTTAGGGGTGTGGCCAATTGGTGTAGGAGAAGAATTTATTTTGAATTGATAGAGCACCTTACATCATCACATGCTGAAAATGTGGATGAAACAAATTTTTAGGGTGTGAAAGGTCAAGGTGATTTCTCCAGGGGTGTGAAGGCTGAAAAAGGTTGGGAACCACTGCTATAAGTCAATGTTAATCAAAGAATTCCTCATGCACAGAAGAGATTTAATGCTAATGTTTAAAGGGACAGGTTTGCCATCTGTTTGACCAATCGTAACTAAGCTGATCAGTAATAATCAATGTCTAAATTTGAGCCTTCGAATCCATGTGTCAAGAATTATCCATGTTTGAAAGTTAAAATGACGACTCGTCTTTTCTTGAGACTGTCTTATATAGAATAACATATATGAAATCGAAAGTGTAATTCCTAGTTTGAGGTATTTTTAAAGTATTAGGCCATTTTTTGTAACTTTCTAGTAGTTCTGAAGACTATTTACATATATTCAAGACGCAAATCAACCCCCAAAAATCTGTCCCTTAAAAGAATACCAGTACTTATTATAATTTCAGTATATGATATCTAGTCTACTAACAGAGAGTATCATGTGTATCATTATAATGTTTCAAACACAAGAAAATATTTCTAAATTAACCAAGAAGTAAGTATATTTGGTGTCTGTTATTTTTTTTAGAATCATACAATTATTTTAATGTTTCCAAAATATTTTATAACACCATACGCAAAATGAATCATATCAGTCATATATTCTAATGACCATAAACCATGTTGATTTTATTTTATATGTTTGATATTCTCCTTACTCTGTGCCATCTCAATTTTCTTGTCATATTTTAGGTCATTCAAGTATTTAGCAAGACAGAATAGATTGGTATCCATTTTAGAGCAACTGTCAATCATCAACAATATAGATGATTTGTTACTCCCACTATTGTTACGGTTGATACAAGCTGGAGTAAAACAAGCATTGACCGGTGATGTTACCATGGATACCAGTGAAGATGAAAGTGGACCGTCTGCCCCACCATTTCTATTAAGTGTGCGTGAAATTATGACAAGAATAACTTTACACGAGAAGATAGCAACTGAAATGGCTAGGTATTGTTGAATTTTATAACGTAAATTTTAAATGTATATTTTGAGTTAGCAGAAACTTATAATTTAGAGGTGAGAAGGAGTCAATGATTCTAGTGACCTTGCCTGCCTCGCAAGACAGAGAATACATAATAATGGCATCAAGACCGACTTAATAAGAGGATGACTATTGTGGTTGATATTAAAAAATCAGAGCGAAGTGCATGGTGCATGTAGCGTCTGAGAGGGTTCATATTTTGGGGCTAAAACGCAGACAAATCATATTTTTTTTTTTATTCAAAACCATTTTTTTAGGGGTGGGGCCATATTTCGCAAAGAAAGTCCACGTTCTATGTTCCTGAAACAAAGGAAAGGACAACATAGATCATCCGTAGTTTTGTTTTTGTGTGTAAAGAGATTCCCAAGCTCAGATCCAGTTTGAAAATTGTATTTTCTTGTAATAGTCACCAGTTATTGTCAATAAATGCCTAGATAGTAAGATATGATTGTTGTATATCTTACAGTGCTGTAATAGAGAGTTATATACAACATGGTACTGATTTAGATCCTAATGATCCTAGTGGTGAATCTTTAAATCTTAACATGAAGAATGTGGTTTCTTCTCTAGAGACAAGGTAAGTTTAAAGAGATATATTTCTTAATACTTTAAAATCATTATCATTTGAGGAGAATCAATATTTGTGTGCTTGCTGCGATCAATCCACTAATCGGGAGATGAAATGAAAGGAGTTTTATGCCCAACTTTTCTGCACTTGATTTGGCTAATGGAGGCGGACATTGCCATGCATGATCTTTAGCACAGCCTGTAGCACATGGGGCCTTGGATTATTGTCCCATCCGAACAAGTGCAGCTGTTTGATTTTTGCAATGCCTTACTGGGTCCAGATAGAGGCCAGCTCTTCTTGCTGTCTCGCACTTGTTTACACTCCCACATTTCTTTCAAAACTGTACTCGGTTCCCAGACTCAGTTCAGACTCAGCCCGAATGATTTGTGGAAGTCTAAACGTGGTTATAGTCAGCCTCACAGACCTGCATCAATGTAAGAGGAAGCTGGGTTGAAAAATCCAAAGGTATTCTCTAGACCAATGCTAGACTAATTTGCAGGTAGCGAATTAGCACCTTACTCAATGAACCATCGTGACTCCCCATGAATTCATGTTCAAATCAAATATATGATAATGTTCTGTTCTATCTATTAGATATCCAGCCTCATTAGATGTAGCTATAGAGAGAATAAAACAAGAAGTAGAAGGTACAGATCAGCAACAAGCTGTAGATCAATTCTTACTTCAATCAGTGGTATCTATTAAACGACAAATAGTACCTGATTTAGATTCTAACTTAGTTCTCTGTTTAAATCATCGCAGTGAATTTGTTAGAATTAGATCTGTTCAACATCTACTAAGAAATAAAGATCAGGTAATTTGACTTTTTTTCAGTTGTTCTAGCCATAAAGATGAAAAAATCCATTACGATAATTTTTGGATGCTGCTAATGATTCTTGGATGTGATGTTGGCTTTTAGTCCCTGTTCTTTTTATTATTTCTTTATTTAAAGTTGAAATAATGCTGTCTAATTTTTTTTATTGATGCATATTTTATATCCAAAAAGCATATCACCAGTTGAGGATTCACTGCTATTAAGTATAGACAATTCAGAGGGGATGTTTATTTTGAAGAGAGGTGTAGATTATTTCTATTGTTGTTTGTATTGTAGTGTGAAGATAAAGAGTTTATATCAGAATCTCTACTAGCTAGAATGGTAGATGATAGTCCACTAGTTGTTAAAACTGTCTTTAAAAACTCTACAGTAAGTATTTAGTTGGTGTTATAGTTTTATCAATCCAGTCAAATCACAAATGTGTGATATTCCAGGACGATTCAGAACATGAAAGATCCTTTCACACTCAGTTATGTATGTGATGTATGGTACCCTAATTAGGCAGAGAATAACATTACATTTCACTTATTAGCTTTTTTCAAATTTTTGCAAATATTTCAAGTTTGCAGAGGTTGACAGTACTAAGTTATGATATTTTATTTTTGACTAGAATTTAGAGAAACTGATGTTAGATAAGGAACAGTTACAATCTAATCTACTGACCATATTAAAAACACACAGGTAGGTAATCTTAACTTATATTACAATGTAGGAGGTACTCTTTTCAACTGATAGTTTTTCTGAATTTGCATGAAAGTTACATAATTCAAGCAACTTTTTGCCATTTTGTTGAAGATTGGAATAGGCTAATGTGGTAATGTATTATATGGTGAAATAGCATATTTGTTTCCAGGCTATAACCTATAATTTTATGAATTTTAGACCCATACAGAGGTCTGATTAAATTGTTGTTTGAGCGTCTGGATGATATTGTCATCATGTCATTGACTTGATCTTGCAGCAAACATGATTTCT